GGGGAAGGGGGGGGGGGGGGGGGGTGTTGGGTTGTTTTAGAACCTTCAGAATAAGCATACTAATAGAAGTATTATTGGACAAAAAGGAGATCTGACACGATAGGGATCACTATAAGGCCTCAAGGTAGCTCAACTATAGAACCATTTGAACTGCAGAAACCCAAAACGACGACACATACAAAAAGGGAANATCATGTCAATAATATTAATGTGATATAATTATTCAATAAAAAAATTACAAAATAGATAAAATTGTAAGAGAAAGCTAAGTAGTTTATCTCATGAAGGTGGTTATGATTATACACTTGTAAACTTGTTTATGTGGACAGTTGCACCACGTAATACTTCTGACGTGGTGTAATAGTTATACTTAATATTTATTTATTTAGAGAAGCGGAGGGGAGAAAGAGAGGGGAAGAGGGAGGGGGTGGTTGGGTTGTTTTAGAACCTTCAGAATAAGCATACTAATAGAAGTATTATTGGACAAAAAGGAGATCTGACACGATAGAGATCACTATAAGGCCTCAAGATAGCTCAGCTATAGAACCATTTGAACTGCAGAAACCCAAAACGACGACACATACAAAAAGGGAATCCTTTTAATCTCTCTCTCAAAATCTACACGTATACAGAAGAAACTGAAGAACTTTCCGCTGTAAATGACGCGTTTCCATGGCGGCTACTACTAGTATTGCGCTCATTTTCTCCATCTTCTCATCTAATCCACCATCTCCAATGGACTATCACTCAAAACTAACACAACCCATGTTCTCTCATGTCTTGTTGTCCTTCTTCGCTTTCTCTCTTCTATCTCTCTCCATTCTCGTCTTGTTTTTATGGAGAAAACTCAAGAAAACAGAGAATCAGAGCTCAAACTCGACCACCCAATGCTCGCTCTTGAAAACTGTTGATAACACCGAACACACCCCCGAATCAAACCTGACTCAATTGACCCAGTCACTTCTCCTTGAGATCTTACCATCAAATTCCCCCAAATGGGCCTCTCTATTTAGCAATCAGGCATGTGATGACCCGTGTGCGAACGAGTCGGGGTTAGATAGGGAAACGGTTGATTCGGGTGGGGAGGAGTGTGGGAAGAAGAAGAAGAAGAAGAGAGCAAAGAAAAAGAGACCCAATTTGTCTAATTTGAATCTTGAAGAGGGTGGTGAAAAGAGGTGTCTTGGAAAGGAAGGTTTTGGGTCTAAGGAGAAGCCCGAATTGGTATGTTTTTACCCTTTTACCTCTTCTTCGAGCGCGACGCAGAGGAAGATCAAGCAACAGTACGATCAGCTTGCCAAGGCCCATGAGTCCAATGGCTTGACCCTGTTTCAGGTTTTTCTTGATATTTCCATCTTTAATCTCATGTTTGTATTTCAGTTATTTGAGTTTGACAGTCTAGATATTCACTGTTTACATTAGATGTTTAGGTGAGGAATGTTTTTGTTGTCAAGGTTGCTGCCGGGTAATGGTTGTTTAGTTTGGTGGATGTAAAATTTTATTTATTTTTGTATGACCTGCCCTGATGCTATTATTCACTGACCCTATGAATCTCCTATTTGAGGTATATATACATAGATTAATCAATTGTATTTTATTCGGACAATTTATGAGAATAAATGGACTCTTTTTTATCATTTCAAGCAAGATGTTTCCTTCGTATGACTATCTTCACTTAAGGGTTGCAGTGCTAAAGAACCTTAGAATCCACTCTTTGCACTTTCCCTGCAAGGAGGAGATACTTTGCCACGTTACTGTGTCTTTTCTATTCCAAAAGCTTAATTTATCCTATAATGTGTAATCAACAAGGATGAGAGACTGCAGAAATGTATGATGCCTGATTTTTCCCATAATTGGGGTTGTGAGACTTGATGATTACCCACCTTGGGTCCTCTATACTGAAGGGTCTTATTTTGAACTCTGCTTCGGCTTGTGTGAACACACAGATGTATTATAATCTTATGAAGTTGGTATTTATTAGATTTTAAGTTTTGTATACTTTGCTGATGGGAAGGTTTATAGTCCTGTAGAAATCATAGGCTGATGATTTTTCAGAATTTCATTTAGAGTTTAGACTTGATTTTTTTTTCATGCAAAGGAAGGATAATATTTGCCGTAATGTGTAGGAATGAGTTTTTTCTACATATTTATTTTGGAATTGGGCTTTGAAGTGTACTATGATAGGAGTGACCACCATGGTGTGCCGTGTTCGACCAGAGTATTTTATTCATCCATTATGCAACTCTTTCTTGGAATCCAGCAAGTATGCCATTTCATGACAAAAGAAAACTGTGAACTAGTAGCAAAAATGCAAGCATTGGAATTAAAACATGCATGATTATTCCCATTGCTATGCGAATTAGATGTTGTGATTCGACCCTGGATTAATATTGAGCTTCTTCAGAAATAAGCTAACCCAAAAAAAAATTGTGGTAGTCAAATGATATATGAATGTGCAATGCTGCAGTAAATTGCATATTTACTTGAAGCTTCACGCTAAACCCAACCTATCATCAAAAGTATTTGATGGGGTCAGGCGAATAAGATTTTAGTTTGGACCAACTGGATCCACCCAGTTACCTCTTCGAAATTCCCACTTGGTTGGAGCCCAATGAATATAAATGCTCTATGACTTGGATGCTTTTAGTTGGCACTGAGTTAGTATTGCTCAGATGATTTGTGATTGTATCCGATATCATGCACTCGGGCTCTATAAAACTGATGTTATTCTCATAATGATCCTACAGATTCCATAAATTATTGCAGTTGTGCTGACTAAAGGTGTGTTATGTGGATGTACTGTACTAAACATGTTTCTTAATGAGCACGTACATTGCTTTATGAGTTTTCCCCTCCAGGCAGAGGCGATGGGTCACACAAGTGAGGGTTAGTCCCCCCTACCCCATAAAGTGAGGATAGTATCCCACTCTCATGGTACAACTACCTGGAGACTGTTTTAGTTGATCTAGCTTGTGCTTTGCAGTGTTTTTCATATTGACTTAGTGAATGTGTGATGAGGAGATGCTCTCAATAATCAGCTAACAAATTTGTGGCCACAATATGAACGGTTTTCATTTACCACTAAGCATCAGTTGGCTATGAAGTTTTATATGTTGAAGTAATAGCATCACTATGGAATCTTTGATTTGAAGGGACACTATAAACATGTACATTTGGTGTGTTGAATTATATAGGGGTGGGCATGCATGCCCACAGCCACATGTATGACGTAGAGTTGCCAAGTTTCAGAGGTTCAGTCAGAATAGTCCGTTATCAAACTAGCATCACGATTTGCCTTGATCTGAGATTTAGCGGTTAGGCCTGTATCTTATTGAGATAGAAAGTAAATGGACTTTACGTTTAATCATAGATTGTATGAAAACTCACAAACAAGTCACCATTCTATCTAAAATTGTGTTGGACTTGTAACGATCAAGCATAATCTGGCCAGCTAGGTTGAAATCTCTAGTGCTTGGGCCCAGCTTGGATGATGATAGACACAGTGATGTTGGCCTACTTGACCCCTGGGGAATTGACTATCAATATGTTGTTGCTCTGGATCCTGGGTTTTTTAGCTCATCAAATCCTATATCCAGGCCAGCCGTGGCAACTCTATGAGGTTCTTCAAAAAAAAATTCTTCTTTAACCTTCACAAGCAATCTGTAGACTATTGTGCTGCATTCATCTTGCTTCTTTTCTAACTTAGATCTAAATTGCCGTGGATTCTCCCAATGAAGAGGAATTCTAGACTATTTTCCAGGGTGCCATAATCATCCTAATTCCTGCTGCACATACCTTTAATAAATCTATAGCAATAAATTGGCTGCGCATGTCTCCTAGTTTTCAATTTTCGAATTTAGAGAGATTATGTAATAGTTTAGCATGCAATAACTAGCACTATATATGAAGCACATATTCCAGATAAATATATGGTAGAAAATAATTAGCTGTATGACTCTTTGGAGATCATGCTACTTGTTGCAACTTGCACTTATGATATCACAAAGTTGGCTTGTTACTTTTGTCAGTGCAGTACAAATGTTTCCAACTAAATTTGTCTTCAGAATTGAATTATAGCATGATAGAAAATTTGATTAATGCAGCACCTAATTTACATACATATTTATATGTTTTCCGTAATGCAGGTTGGACAATTTGTTAATTGCTTGATTGAGGCGAAAAATGAGCTACAACACAAGTATGTCTTTTAATTCAGGGGTGGTTGTTTTTCCCCCTTTCTAACTCTGTCTGCATGAGTCGCTAAACTGTTATTTTATCCGTTAAATTGCAGCTAGTTTAACCTTTGGACAAAAATTTCCAATTTTATTGCCAAATGGATGCGATATGCATCTTCATAAAAAATATTTTGATTTAGTTTTTAGATTGGGATAAAATGTACTCTACCACTGATATACCCCTTTAGCATTTTATGTCAGATGGTTAAAATATAGCTACTTCACCCTCATCTGGTTGTAGAATAAACAACTGCCAACATCCTTGTCCAAATTGACAATTTGTGTGACACACACCTATAATTGGTCAATGAACATAAAATTACTTTCGAAGGTGATATGATTAAAAGGCAAACTTGTCAAAACAATTCCTTTTAGATAACGAAAATGCCTACCTTTATCTTTACATCAGTCAGTCCGTCTCTCTCCAACAATCTGCTAGAAGCCTCTTCCCCACCCCAACAACCTGTAACTCCAGAACCCCACTCCTTTAATCCCCTTTGATGGTCATAGTTGATGGCTCTCAGTGAGGTTAGAAGCCCCACTCTAGCCCCTAGCATCCATCGTTCGCTATATCTGACCCTTATGCATACACATATCCTTCACAGGACAATTAGGTATTACTTAAAAATAAAAAATATCACAACTTTAACAATCCCCAAGCTCAAGGAAAAGCCCTCATTGAAATGGTCCCTCTGATACAGACTCGCGAACCATTCATAACCACACGAACAGGCACACATACAAATGGATGGCACAACACACATCCCATCGATGAACGACACCACAGGTGTAGTGGTAAGCCCCTGTTTTCTCTGCTTAGGACCCACCTTCTCCAATCTCTTCTTGGGGTCAAATTCTCTCTCTCAATTAGATTTTTTTTTTCCTCTTTCTCTTCCTTTGTTAAAATTTGTTTAGTTGTTTGTGCCAGTGATTCAAATGATTTCTGGGCTAGTTGGGGATTATTCACCTACGGAGAGAGAGAAAGAGAGAGAGAGAGAGAGAGAGAGTTTTTGTGTGTGGTGATTGGGACTGGGGATGATGGCAATTATGTGTTGTAGTTCATGTTGGTTTAGTTCTGGGTGTAGGTTGGATATTTCAAGATGGGGGTGAGAGCTGCGGTCCAGAGAACGAGAGAAAGTGGGGGAGGGAGGTGGTGGGAGTGCTTTGGGATGGGGTTTTGGGTCGGTAGCTGGAGTGGTGGTTCGACCCAGATTGGAAAGGGGGGAGAGGAGATACAGAAAATGAGATTACAAGGGTAAGAAAATCTTTTTGTCACCATCGATAATGAAGTTAATCCACTTCAAGCTGAAATCAAATGGGATGAAGTGACTATATTTGAATAATAGGAAACTGAAATGTTATTGGTGTGCATCTATTCATAAACACAGTATCCTAACACCATTGATTTTGATTAAGATTTTCTAAGTGATTCGAAACTAAGCCAAAGTTACATGAAGACATGCTTTTATTTTTGTTTTTCCCTGTTTTCCCTTTTGAAAATTTAATTTTGTCTGAAGAATTTCCAAAATATCAATTCCGCCGGGACTCTGGACCAACCTTTATGCTGTAGATTTAGTCCGTGTCTTACTTTACTAAGTCTAAAACATCAAGGTTGGTTATTTTCAAGCAATATAAACTTCAAATGATTCTGAATTTTGACTGTAATTATAATTGCACTTGCTTGTCAAACAGATCTGAGGTAATTCACCGTAAGTTCACAATAACAAAGGCTCTATTACTCAAGGCAGAAAGGTCTTCATTTGACCGCCTCAGGCAACAGGTGGGTGACAAGATTGGTTTATTAAACTTTGGCCTCTTTTGGTGGATAGGTTATCTTTTTCACCTGCAAATGCAAACTGATTTCTTTGGAATGAACAGATATACAAGATAGAACTAGAACAGAAGAGATTAGAAGAGGATGCATTTGTATATAACTGGCTCCAACAACAGCTGAAGCTGTCACCAGCATACAAAAAGGTATCTTCCTATCCTTAATTTGTGATTCACCGGGTTCTTAATATGACCCTAGGTTTTAAACAGCTGGGTTGATGTTGTCACTATTGATGTTGCTGATCAATAGAACTCGACTATGCAAATGATTTATAATTGCCTGCAGTAGGCTACTTGAAAACCACCTTTTACTAGTCCAAGAGTATCTTTATTATATGGTACTCAAAGCTATGCTAGAATGAAGTTTTCAGTTTGTTGCTTGACAAAGATGAACCCTAACACACTCTGTCTATCATGTTGAAGATGCTTGAAATTGGTGCCTGCATGGAGTCGAAAGCCAAATCTAGCGAGCTGGTGGAAAACACTGACCCTGAGTTCACTGATATTTCTTTTGAAGAATTACTAGCACAGGAAAAAAAAGATTCTTTTTGGTTGGTCTCCACTCTTGAACCACGAATTCATTGTTTCTTGTTCCTTTTTTTTGGCCTGCTTGTCATGAATTGCATTTTCCATATGCAGGCAGAGAAATGGGAAAACTAAATTGTGCTCAGGCTGATGACAACATTTCTTGCTTACTATCCCCATGGGTTTAACTAATGGCAAAATATACATCCAATACCCGAAGTGGTGTGCTGTTGCAGGAATTTATGGCTGCTTGTGCTTCTTTGGGCTGGTTTTTGCATAGGATTGTATCAATTAACTGTTTGTTTCCTTTCTATGTTATCCCAGCTTCCACATGAGGCAAATTTACATATTGTCTGCAATGTGCCTTTTTTTTATGACAACTGAGCATTTATTCAGCAGGATTTCTGGCTATTCTTCTTGTTTGGTGAGTGAAAATATTTTCTGTGTGCAACCTTACCCACCGAAGACTATTTGCTCCTAGTGAGGCTTGAACCCCTGATNGCTAGTTTAACCTTTGGACAAAAATTTCCAATTTTATTGCCAAATGGATGCGATATGCGTCTTCATAAAAAATATTTTGATTTAGTTTTTAGATTGGGATAAAATGTACTCTACCACTGATATACCCCTTTAGCATTTTATGTCAGATGGTTCAAATATAGCTACTTCACCCTCATCTGGTTGTAGAATAAACAACTGCCAACATCCTTGTCCAAATTGACAATTCGTGTGACACACACCTATAATTGGTCAATGAACATAAAATTACTTTCGAAGGTGATATGATTAAAAGGCAAACTTGTCAAAACAATTCCTTTTAGATAACGAAAATGCCTACCTTTATCTTTACATCAGTCAGTCCGTCTCTCTCCAACAATCTGCTAGAAGCCTCTTCCCCACCCCAACAACCTGTAACTCCAGAACCCCACTCCTTTAATCCCCTTTGATGGTCATAGTTGATGGCTCTCAGTGAGGTTAGAAGCCCCACTCTAGCCCCTAGCGTCCATCGTTCGCTATATCTGACCCTTATGCATACACATATCCTTCACAGGACAATTAGGTATTACTTAAAAATAAAAAATATCACAACTTTAACAATCCCCAAGCTCAAGGAAAAGCCCTCATTGAAATGGTCCCTCTGATACAGACTCGCGAACCATTCATAACCACACGAACAGGCACACATACAAATGGATGGCACAACACACATCCCATCGATGAATGACACCACAGGTGTAGTGGTAAGCCCCTGTTTTCTCTGCTTAGGATCCACCTTCTCCAATCTCTTCTTGGGGTCAAATTCTCTCTCTCAATTAGATTTTTTTTTTCCTCTTTCTCTTCCTTTGTTAAAATTTGTTTAGTTGTTTGTGCCAGTGATTCAAATGATTTCTGGGCTAGTTGGGGATTATTCACCTACGGAGAGAGAGAAAGAGAGAGAGAGAGAGAGAGAGAGTTTTTGTGTGTGGTGATTGGGACTGGGGATGATGGCAATTATGTGTTGTAGTTCATGTTGGTTTAGTTCTGGGTGTAGGTTGGATATTTCAAGATGGGGGTGAGAGCTGCGGTCCAGAGAACGAGAGAAAGTGGGGGAGGGAGGTGGTGGGAGTGCTTTGGGATGGGGTTTTGGGTCGGTAGCTGGAGTGGTGGTTCGACCCAGATTGGAAAGGGGGGAGAGGAGATACAGAAAATGAGATTACAAGGGTAAGAAAATCTTTTTGTCACCATCGATAATGAAGTTAATCCACTTCAAGCTGAAATCAAATGGGATGAAGTGATTATATTTGAATAATAGGAAACTGAAATGTTATTGGTGTGCATCTATTCATAAACACAGTATCCTAACACCATTGATTTTGATTAAGATTTTCTACGTGATTCGAAACTAAGCCAAAGTTACATGAAGACATGCTTTTATTTTTGTTTTTCCCTGTTTTCCCTTTTGAAAATTTAATTTTGTCTGAAGAATTTCCAAAATATCAATTCCGCCGGGACTCTGGACCAACCTTTATGCTGTAGATTTAGTCCGTGTCTTACTTTACTGAGTCTAAAACATCAAGGTTGGTTATTTTCAAGCAATATAAACTTCAAATGATTCTGAATTTTGACTGTAATTATAATTGCACTTGCTTGTCAATCAGATCTGAGGTAATTCACCGTAAGTTCACAATAACAAAGGCTCTATTACTCAAGGCAGAAAGGTCTTCATTTGACCGCCTCAGGCAACAGGTGGGTGACAAGATTGGTTTATTAAACTTTGGCCTCTTTTGGTGGATAGGTTATCTTTTTCACCTGCAAATGCAAACTGATTTCTTTGGAATGAACAGATATACAAGATAGAACTAGAACAGAAGAGATTAGAAGAGGATGCATTTGTATATAACTGGCTCCAACAACAGCTGAAGCTGTCACCAGCATACAAAAAGGTATCTTCCTATCCTTAATTTGTGATTCACCGGGTTCTTAATATGACCCTAGGTTTTAAACAGCTGGGTTGATGTTGTCACTATTGATGTTGCTGATCAATAGAACTCGACTATGCAAATGATTTATAATTGCCTGCAGTAGGCTACTTGAAAACCACCTTTTACTAGTCCAAGAGTATCTTTATTATATGGTACTCAAAGCTATGCTAGAATGAAGTTTTCAGTTTGTTGCTTGACAAAGATGAACCCTAACACACTCTGTCTATCATGTTGAAGATGCTTGAAATTGGTGCCTGCATGGAGTCGAAAGCCAAATCTAGCGAGCTGGTGGAAAACACTGACCCTGAGTTCACTGATATTTCTTTTGAAGAATTACTAGCACAGGAAAAAAAAGATTCTTTTTGGTTGGTCTCCACTCTTGAACCACGAATTCATTGTTTCTTGTTCCTTTTTTTTGGCCTGCTTGTCATGAATTGCATTTTCCATATGCAGGCAGAGAAATGGGAAAACTAAATTGTGCTCAGGCTGATGACAACATTTCTTGCTTACTATCCCCATGGGTTTAACTAATGGCAAAATATACATCCAATACCCGAAGTGGTGTGCTGTTGCAGGAATTTATGGCTGCTTGTGCTTCTTTGGGCTGGTTTTTGCATAGGATTGTATCAATTAACTGTTTGTTTCCTTTCTATGTTATCCCAGCTTCCACATGAGGCAAATTTACATATTGTCTGCAATGTGCCTTTTTTTTATGACAACTGAGCATTTATTCAGCAGGATTTCTGGCTATTCTTCTTGTTTGGTGAGTGAAAATATTTTCTGTGTGCAACCTTACCCACCGAAGACTATTTGCTCCTAGTGAGGCTTGAACCCCTGATTATATGGTCGCCTCGAAGAGATTGAAACAGGTTCCATGAATATTGGCAAGCTTAGAGGTAGTAAATATTCAATGCAACGGCGACATCACGTCTTAACTGTCACATGGTGTCACCATTCAATTAAAATACTAAAAATGGGTAAAGTAAATCACCACATTTAATCAATAACACACAAGATTAATGGGGTTTATTTTTCTTATTTTTTGTCTTTTAATTGGATTGTGACGTCATGAGATGGCGTTGCAATGAATATTTTTTAGCTCAGAGGGAAGGGAATTGAGTTGTGGGATTGCTTTAACCTAACAGACATTAGCAATATGAGTTCATAAGGATGGTCAAGCAGCTCTACTACTACTCAGTGTTTTGTGTTGTGTGTGTGTGTGTGTTTTTTTTTGTTGGGGAGGGGGGGGGNGAGGAGCCGTCGGAGATGTTGCCAGACAACGGGCTTCCGACCGGGCTGATTTGGGTTCTTCTTCCAGTCATGGGGAAGATAAGTGTAGGAGAGAGAGAGAGAGAATTGGGTTGGGTGTTTGCCGAGTCTGTGTTTGTTTTGTTTTAGAGCATGTCACCGATTCTGAGTGCTTTTAGTATATTTTCCTCAATTTAAGAATTCAAATAAAATTTATAAATTAAAATATATCAATAAATTTTTACTACTAGATGATGAGTAATTTATTATTGAGGAAAATAAAAAAAAAACTTGCATTATATCTATCTACTTAATAAATGCAAATAAATAAACTTGCATTTTCGGGCATCATAATTGAATAAATTGGGTTAAGGTGAAAGCGCAATCAGCATGTTAAATTAGCACGCCCCTCTTCTCTCTGATACTCCCTCGCCCACTGGAGATCTCTCTCTCGAGAATCGAAGCCAATCGAGATGGGTCGAAGCTCGACTCGGTTCACTACTGTCTTCGTCGTCTCTCTCCTCCTCTTGATCTCATCTGCACACTCCTTCTATCTCCCTGGTGTTGCTCCTCGCGACTTTCAGCGGGTAAATTTCGTACACTCAACTTCTCTTGTTTTAATTTCCGAGCCAATTTATTGATCTTTTTAGCATTTGATCTGCTAATTTTAGTACCTATTGCTTACTAGTCACGCGTTTTGTGTATTTGGATTCATTCAATTGCGCTGGTTTGGATGTTTGTGCTGGTACATATTTAGATCTAGGGTTTTATATTGACTCGTTTTAGTTCGGTTTTTTGGCCTTATTTTTTTTCATGAACTGGCCTTGGATCTACGGTTTTTGTTGTAGGTGGAGATTCAATTCATGAGTTAATTGATTCCACGTTTTGCTTGATTTCATTTTCTCTTTTTTTTTTGGCTACGCATTTGCTTTTGGTGTGATATATTATCTGTTGAAGGGGTGCATTACCTCCACAAATCTCTTTTTGCATTTTCAGTCTCTAGCCTATTCCAATGTTCACTGGAATTTCCATTCATTAGGCATTGTGTATGTATTTATTAGGTTTAATGTGATTCTCTAGTAGACAAAGTTACGTGCATGTTCTGAAGCGATGGATATTGCAGGATTTTGGGGTTAGTCCTGTGTCTAGTTTCATTATTCTCTATTTGGAAATTGATCTCGGGTGATCAATGTCATTAAAATTATATATCAGAACACTATATTATATGTAACCCAAAGCTCAATTTCCAGAATACATAATGAGAAGATTTTTCATTTCCTTTGTTTACTAAGGATTCCTTAATAAGTAGATAGTGAAAAGAGTATTGAGACAGATTGCCCTGGCAGACAACTAGGAAAGCTTTATTGTAAGAATCTAAGATGGAATTGGAGTCAGGTTCGGAACGGCAACCTGACACAGTGGTCCACAATTAATTTACCAAACCCTGAAGACCGACGAGTTGCTGTTTCTTGGACTTTCTCTTGTAATGGATGTGGGTGCTGTATGCCGGCTTGTAAAGAAAAACGTTTTGGCATTTTTGCATGGAAATGCAGGACTCACTATAGCTTGCATGGAAAATGCGAGTTTGCTTATGTAATATGCCTTTCTGCTGCTTCTTGTTCTTGTTGATTGAGCAGCTATCCCCAATCTACTTGGTTATATCATAGACGTTAACATTGTGTCACTCTTTTAACAGGGTCATCCACTTCCAGTTAAAGTGAACAAGCTGTCATCTACAAAGACACAACTTCCATATGACTACTATTACTTGGACTACTGTAAGCCAACCAAAATTATGAACAATGCTGAAAATTTGGGGGAGGTTCTCAGGGGTGACCGCATAGAGAACTCTGTTTATACTGTGAGTGTCTATTCTGGTTTCGTTTTTTATTAAGTGCCGGTTAAGGAGAATAAAATATTTACATCCCTTTTTTTCCCCTTCCCGGTGTGTGTCATCATGCTTATTTGAAAATTATCCCAGTTTCATATGAGGGAGGAGCAGTCATGCAAGGTGGCTTGTCGAGCAAAGCTCAATGTTGAATCGGCAAAGAACTTTCAGGAAAAAATTGACGATGAATATCGAGTTAATATGTAAGTTCTGAATTCAGTACCGCCTCATTATTCATTATTCATTTTTTTTTTTTTTTTTTGAGTTTCTTTATAGCATGTTGTGAGAGATCTTTTGTTAATGGCCTTGTTCCAAGCAATTATGGCTGCAAGTTTTGCATGAATCGATTTCTGTTTGATTGATATATTCGGAGTGGGACTGCAGGATTCTGGATAACCTTCCGGTTGCTGTTCTAAGACAAAGGAGGGATGGAAGTCAGTCAACCACTTATGAACATGGTTTCCTTGTTGGGTTCAAAGGAAATTATGCAGGGGTAAGTTGCCATAGGCAAATGCACTTTTACAATCCTCAAAGCTCAACAATTTATATATTTTCATGCATTCATCTGCTTCTGCAGAGCAAAGAGGAGAAATATTTTATCAATAACCACTTGAGCTTTAGAGTAATGTACCACAAGGATCCTGAGACTGATACTGCTCGAATTGTTGGGTTTGAAGTCACTCCAAACAGGTTATGTGGTTTCCACTTGCATCTTTTTTGGTGTGTCAGTTTTGCATTTCTTTGTGAGTGCTGGGGTCAACAAATATGAAGCATACAAGTTACCATCTCAAAAGTTCTGCTATAGAATTGCTATCAAGTTTCTATTGAAAAAAATTGAAGAATGCATCATAAACAATTAAACTCTTTGCTTAGAATGAGCTTTGCTGGAACAAAAGCTTTTTGAAGTGTAAAATATGATGAAAAATCATTTCAGCTGAGAAAACATCTCCCTATATGAAGAAAAATGCTCATTCCATTTTTACTCTTGCATACGGTTTTTGAGCATTTTCTGTTTTGTAACTACTTGAAAGGTTTGTGACATGTTAACGATAAGTGTGATTATGCATGAAAAGCTTTATTTGATTAGTAATCTCATTGCAGACTTGCATTAAATGATACCTTTGTGTTTATTCAAGGGTTATATCAATCAGACTTGATTTTCTGTGGTTTGTGTGGCGGGTTGCTTCTTTGTTTAATTCTTGTCTTTTCACTCTCCTGAACAGCATTAGTCATGAGTACAAGGAGTGGGATGAAAAGAACCCTCAGTTATCCACATGCAACCAGAACACCAAAAATATAATTCAAGGTAGCATTGTTCCACAAGAAGTTGGTAGAGATAAGGAGGTTGTATTTACATATGATGTCACTTTCAAGGTACTTTCTTACCAAACCGTTTGCTTTTGTCCTTTATATGCTTCTGCGTCTTTCTATTTCCTGCTTTTGTTTCCAGGAAAGTGATATCAAATGGGCATCACGTTGGGACACCTACCTCCTCATGAACGATGATCAAATCCACTGGTTTTCCATCATTAACTCGCTGATGATTGTCCTCTTCCTTTCTGGCATGGTGGCCATGATTATGATGAGGACTTTGTATAGAGATATTGCAAACTATAATCAGTTGGAAACACAAGATGAGGCTCAGGAAGAAACAGGCTGGAAGCTTGTTCATGGAGATGTTTTTAGGGCACCCATTAATTCGGGATTACTCTGTGTTTATATTGGGACTGGTGTTCAGATTTTGGCAATGACACTTGTGACAATGATATGTGCTATGCTGGGTTTTTTATCACCTTCCAACCGAGGTGGGCTTATGACTGCCATGGTTCTTTTATGGGTCTTCATGGGCTTATTTGCCGGTTATTCTTCCGCACGTCTCTACAAAATGTTCAAGAGCACAGAATGGAAGAGGAATACATTAAAAACTGCTGTTATGTTTCCTGGTATTCTGTTTTCTGTTTTCTTTGTGCTGAACGCCCTAATCTGGGGGGAAAAGTCTTCTGGAGCAGTGCCCTTTACAACTATGTTTCTTCTTGTGGTCCTATGGTTTGGCATCTCGGTACCCTTGGTGTTTGCGGGCAGTTACTTTGGTTTCAAAAAGCGGGCCATTGAAGACCCAGTGAAAACAAACAAGATCCCAAGGCAGATACCAGAGCAAGCATGGTACATGAAACCAGTCTTCTCTATACTTATTGGAGGCATTCTGCCGTTTGGTGCGGTTTTCATTGAACTGTTCTTCATCTTGACTTCCATATGGCTCAATCAGTTCTATTACATCTTTGGCTTCCTTTTCATAGTTTTTGTCATCTTGATAATCACCTGTGCGGAGATAACGATCGTGCTCTGCTACTTCCAGTTGTGCAGTGAGGACTACAATTGGTGGTGGAGGGCTTACTTGACTGCTGGCTCCTCTGCTTTGTACCTTTTCCTCTACTCTGTTTTCTACTTCTTCACCAAGTTGGAAATTACAAAATTGGTTTCAGGCATCCTGTACTTCGGGTATATGTTAATTGCATCGTATGCCTTCTTTGTGTTGACGGGCACAATTGGATTCTACGCATGCTTCTGGTTTGTCAGGAAAATCTATTCGTCTGTGAAGATTGACTGATGTGTAGATGAAAGCAAAGGGAGAAAGAATTGCGCATCAGCGAGACCAAAATGTTATGGGAACCTGATGAAATTTGAGATGTTGTGACAAAAACCTGTAAGAGGCATCTTCATTTCTAAATGGTAGGATCCACCCTTTAAACCTTGGACAAACTTTTCAATTTTCCTGGTGGATTTGGCTTGTATGTACGCAACTCCCTCCGTTCTTAAATATGTATTGTTTTACACAATTTTTTTTATTTTATAATATCTGTCGTTTTATAAAACAAAAACATAATACATTTTTTTTTTCAAATTTACCCTTATTTCTATTTTTCAGTAAGTGCTTAATAGAGTAAGTGTTGGTTAATTGTTTTCCATATTTTTTTCCTTTCCAATACGTATTGAATAAGGGTATTTTAGTTTTGTGTAATTATTTTTTACTCATATTAGAGTTATTTAATAATTTCTTTAATCTTTGTTCAAAACTTTTAAAAGACAGATATTTAGGATTTTTTTCCATTTTGTTTACACCAGCGTTAATTGTTGTGAAGTTTACGTTTAGGAGNGCTTGGCAAACATAACATTATTGTATCAAATATTCCAGCAAAAATGCTATGCACCAAGATTTTTAATCAAAATTTTCATTCCAAATGACATTACATAATTTTTATCATCAAATAAGTGATTCTCATTAATATTAAATAATAAAAATTGTAGCACATCACTTAAAATGAATAACTTGGTAAACACAAATTATGGAAAAACAATTTTTCNTTGTTCAAAACTTTTAAAAGACAGATATTTAGGATTTTTTTCCATTTTGTTTACACCAGCGTTAATTGTTGTGAAGTTTACGTTTAGGAGCCTTTATGGTGGACGTTGTCTTGGGATTTCCTTATAAATTAATCCAATGCAAAGGTGAGGAAGACGAGGGTTAGCGTTAAATAACTTTCTGTAATAACCACCATGACGAACGCCGTAATTGTTGAAAGATTGGGGGGCAGCAGCAACCAAACGAATTGAACTCACCGAGTAGGAAGATTGAGACAATTGAATCGTACCCCGTCATTGAACATGATGTCCAGCGAGTTCCTAGTTCTATTATTTTGTATTTTTTTTAATNGTATTAACATCTAGGATATATGACCAAGTTTTGCAATAAAAACTTCTAAGATTGGCATTGTTTTGTTTATCGGATTGTTCTCACATTTTTCCTTCCCCCACCCTCATTCCCTGCCCTTTCCTTCTTTATATGATGATTTTTTTAATTCTGGGCAGGGGAAAAGGTGGGTGGGGTGTTAGATTTTCTTTACTCNAGACTTTAAAAATAAAGCTAAAAACTAGACTTGATAATTAGAACCATTAATTTCACTGTGGGTTCCAGCATTTATTGGGACTCACTATCTATTTAACGGCTGAGATTATCAAGTCTAATTTTTAAGTCCATCTAACATTACTCATTAAAAAATGGTCAGAATTTGTTCATTTTTTAATAAAACTAACGCAAAAAATGATTAATATGAAGATCTTGCACACCATAGAACTTTTTAAAGATTAATTTTTTTACATTGTACTCTTANATTATATACCTCGTTTCTAAAACTGTAAACTTAAGTGTCCATCACCACCATAGCTTCAAAAAAAAAAAACTCAAAAGAAACAATAATAGAGAAGAATGACAGGGAACAAGCAAAATCAACAGAACAATTGCCTCCTAAAGATGATGAAAGGGAAGAAGAGAGCAATAGGAGTCATCATCTATCGACCCACCAGAATTGATCACAAAGAAAGAAACTTTGCGCCCAGTAACATGAACAGAGACNTTAGAAATAAATTAGCTTAATTAATGCATCCTATTTTTTAAAATAAATTATTTATAGTCCTAATTTTAGATTTACTCTTATATATAAATTATAATTGAGTGTTTGTAATTACTATTTGTCAAAATTTTAAATGATCTGGGAGGGTAAACTTAACATTTAACATTGCAGAAGGGTTTTTGGATATTATAATGTATTTTGTTGATGATGTCACTATTTTTCGTTATTTGTTTCGACGTCCGTCAGAAGAAAGGGTTGCTTGTGTCATACGTTTCCAAATGTCAAAGGGTCTCATTTGTAATTTTAAAATGTGAGGGGATCCATGTGTAATTCAATCAAATGTCAGGGGTATTAGTATAATTTAAACTACAGTTATGCCCAAAAAAAGAAATGAGAGAAAGAGAGAGAAACAGTTGACCAACAATATTATGCTGATAAAAAAAATTTATTAAATTTCTTATTCCAAATGATATAACACAATTTTTATCATAAATAAGTAAGTTTTATTAATATTCAACGATCAAGGTTGTGTCATATTATTTAGGATGAAAAGCTTGGCAAACATAACATTATTGTATCAAATATTCCAGCAAAAATGCTATGCACCAAGATTTTTAATCAAAATTTTCATTCCAAATGACATTACATAATTTTTATAATCAAATAAGTGATTCTCATTAATATTAAATAATAAAAATTGTAGCACATCACTTAAAATGAATAACTTGGTAAACACAAATTATGGAAAAACAATTTTTCCGGTAGTAGCATTACCCTTAATGGTATTAACATCTAGGATATATGACCAAGTTTTGCAATAAAAACTTCTAAGATTGGCATTGTTTTGTTTGTCGGATTGTTCTCACATTTTTCCTTCCCCCACCCTTATTCCCTGCCCTTTCCTTCTTTATATGATGTTTTTTTTAATTCTGGGCAGGGGAAAAGGTGGGTGGGGTGTTAGATTTTCTTTACTCTTTTATTACGTTAAAGAAATTTTACAAAAAATGGGGTGACATGGCATACTAGGAATGGTAATAGCATTCATCCTACATGGCAGTTTGCTTTAGTATATACCTCGTTTCTAAAACTGTAAACTTAAGTGTCCATCACCACCATAGCTTCAAAAAAAAAACACTCAAAAGAAACAATAATAGAGAAGAATGACAGGGAACAAGCAAAATCAACAGAACAATTGCCTCCTAAAGATGATGAAAGGGAAGAAGAGAGCAATAGGAGTCATCATCTATCGACCCACCAGAATTGATCACAAAGAAAGAAACTTTGCGCCCAGTAACATGAACAGAGACTCCCGAACAATTGCATCATAATGGCACATCTCTTCCATCTAGGCCAGCCAACCGAGCACCAAATGATAGATAAGTAAATTAACAAAATCTACAAATTAGTTAGTGGTCATTAGCTTCATATTGTTCAGTAAACCAAGATTACAAGAAATACAAGTGTTTCCAGCAGCTTCTGGATATATCAAGAGGTACATGTGAGTATGTGTGACTTGAATTTATCCAGTTCAGCAAGAACCTCCTCTTCTAGACGGTAAATCAGGTCCATCATGCGCCATATCTGGACCAAAACAGTCATGGCTTCAATGTAAATAACTCGAGAGGCATAAATGGTTAGAACAAACAACACTTGTGTTTCTAGAGCAATGCATTGCACCCTTACTTCAAATTAAGAAGATATTATTACTTGCGTTCTTTAACCAATAATCTAATGACTGAAAATTCAGTTAACTTATAAGCATCCAATAATTCTCTCCACAGTTATTAAGTACCAAAAGAAAAACCCTATCTAANTAATGACTGAAAATTCAGTTAACTTATAAGCATCCAATAATTCTCTCCACAGTTATTAAGTACCAAAAGAAAAACCCTATCTAAGAATCATCACAATAGTATGCCACCCTGAACGCGTGAATACAGATGTTGATGGTGCATGAGGCTCAAGCCAACTACTATTTACAAAAGTGAGAAACTATTGTTACCTGTAGAGTGCCACCACCACCAGTACTTTCACCATCATCAGACACGCTGACAATTGTCCATGGATCATATGCATTCCAATGGAAATCAACTACCTTGTCCCTATATTTATTTCCAATGAACATTTTACTTCATATGTGAGAATCGAACAGAAGCAGATTAGATTAAAATAAATGTAGGCGTGATGCACATAACCAAAGAAAACTAATAACCCAATAACGGGTCCAATAAGATATATGTCTAGCTAAAAAACATTATATATCATCAAAGTGCTATTTATATGGGAAAAATGAAATTCCCCCCATCTGTCTTCCATCAAAATGAGGAAATTTCCCTGTCTGCTAAGGAGGAACAATATGACAGCAGTGCTACTTAACCCAGAAATCAAACAAAATTACATGTATAACACTGAAGATGAGATGCGCTGTACCTGTGCCCAGCATGACGAAAGAATAAGCCTGGGGGAGAATTTGGAGCTTTTGTTCCAGCGGGTTCTTGCTTTTTACCAATCTGGGACATAATTAACTNCATGACGAAAGAATAAGCCTGGGGGAGAATTTGGAGCTTTTGTTCCAGCGGGTTCTTGCTTTTTACCAATCTGGGACATAATTAACTTTGTTACAAATGAACGAATGCAAAACACCTATTTTAAGTAAAAACAAACTATTAAAATAAACAAGCATGTGAACTACGTGAATTAAGCAAGGATATAAACACTTACATAATACAACCTATCAGATCATAGTGCTAAACAACTAAGCAAGAGAGTGAGTTAGTGAAATAATAAGGCGTGCACTAAATCAGTAAACCAGCAGAACTTTCATTTGATCATAATTTATACAACTGACTGAAAAATGTTCAGTCATGTTGCATAATAACAATTCTCTATGATCAGAAAAATGCGAACACTGTTCCACACCTGTTTCTTCCATATTTTGGACCCTAGCTCCATGGAACAATATGCTACTATTAACTTAGTTTTNCACCTGTTTCTTCCATATTTTGGACCCTAGCTCCATGGAACAATATGCTACTATTAACTTAGTTTTAAATCCATTTTCCTATTGAGGTGGTGGAGACTTAAACGCGACTTTCGGAAGGTGTTTAGAAAGAACCTGGAGGTTTAAGAGACTTCCGGTTTAAATTAAAAAGAAAAAGAAAACAAAAAACTAAAATATCTCTATTCTTAATCATAAAGATATTGGAAAATGGAAATTTGTAATTCACACAACAGTATATCTAAAAATGTTCTCTACTGGAAGAGACACTGCCTTAGCAATTAAAAATAAAACATCTAACTATTTTTTCCTGTAAATTTTCCAAATAATATTTCTACATGAGTTCCTACTTAAATGGCAACAAAAAGTTATGAAGAGACACCTAACTCTGGCCTTCTCTCAATAATCAACACAAATCATCTAATTTGGATCAATTTCATACACACTCATCCTCACATTGTTATGCACAGTAATATATCACTAAACCCTAATCATCCACATGACCTTGCAGTGATATATGCAGAGTTGAAGCTTTTCTCATTTTCAGTGATCTCATTATGTTCAATGGGTCTTCCTTGAACTGTCCCATAACCTCACTTTTTAATCAATCTATATTTTTATCCTCTAGTAAGAAGAACTGTACTTTTTCCAATTGAGACAGACATATTTGTAATAATGAAAATAAATATGCTAGGAAGATTGGTTTATTGGTCCACACCTTCTCATGATCCCAGATGTTCAAGANGCTCTTCCTTGAACTGTCCCATAACCTCACTTTTTAATCAATCTATATTTTTATCCTCTAGTAAGAAGAACTGTACTGTTTCCAATTGAGACAGACATATTTGTAATAATGAAAATAAATTTGCTAGGAAGATTGGTTTATTGGTCCACACCTTCTCATGATCCCAGATGTTCAAGATGCCATCCTCAGCGGAACTTCCAAAGACAGACGACTTGTCTGGAGACCACTGGAAACAAACAAAAAATTTCCATCAATCAATAATGGCAAATCCCAGCAAGTCAAATTTACAGGCTCGGCGAGGTTGTTTATAGCAAGAAAGAATATTCAGATACCTGTACGCAAAGGACAGCAGCATTGTGACCCTCAAATATGTGGATAGGGGATCCAACTCCAGAAGCAGAAGTGAGATTTNCAGCGAGGTTGTATATAGCAAGAAAGAATATTCAGATACCTGTACGCAAAGGACAGCAGCATTGTGACCCTCAAATATGTGGATAGGGGATCCAACTCCAGAAGCAGAAGTGAGATTTCGACGGTCAAACATGCGAACAGAATTATCAGCTGACCTGAAGAAATGAAAATTCAACATAATGAGAGGATTTTGGTTTTTTTCCTTGTTTATAGGGGCATGAGGAAAGGTTCACCCGTGAAAACAGAATGTGAAAAAACAACAGCAATACCAAAATATGGTATGATCTGCATGGTGGTTGATGAATGGTATTTAAGGTGACCAAACAGAATGTGAAAAAACAACAGCAATACCAAATTATGGTACGANCCTGTTTATAGGGGCATGAGGAAAGGTTCACCCATGAAAACAGAATGTGAAAAAACAACAGCAATACCAAAATATGGTACGATCTGCATGGTGGTTGATGAATGGTAATTAAGGTGACCAAACAGAATGTGAAAAAACAACAGCAATACCAAATTATGGTACGATCTGCATGGTGGTTGATGAATGGTAATTAAGGTGACCAAATAACTACACTTACTAGTTTCCTTGGTAAGTCAACAAATGAAAGCACACAAAAAAAGTACCCAGTGAGAATGAGATTCACATCATGAGGATTCCAATCAACACAGTGAAGATCAGCATTGTGAGCTTTCTCAACCTGCAAGAGAAGCAACCAAAAACCCAAATGCATATCTACTTCAATACTATTACCGCTGACAAAAAACCAATGGCATATGTAAACGAGACATGCAACAATAAGAATGACAGCTAACAAAATAGAGAGAGAGAGAATTCAACATTGCTTTAATCCCAAGTAGTTGGGAATGGCTACATAGATCCTTCTCCAATTGCCATTGGAAAAACCAAATCCCTAGTTAATTCTAAATCAATTAAATACTTCCTAGGAGCCATAACCTACATTATTTTGTTACTTCCTCTTGTGTTTTAGAAACCCTAAAACTGGAATAAAATCAGTTGTCTTCATTGCATAAAATGAGGTGATAATCTGTTGTGAAGGATGTATATTTTTCTGCTGAAAGAACATAACCCTAAAACACTCTAATCACGCACAACTACCTAGATATCACATATGCAAAATGGATAATAGCAGATATATTTGTCAGCTTATAGTTGTTCCCCTCTCTGCACAAATTGCTTTCAAGCACCCAACACACCTATTCTGCATAATACATCTATCTATTTACATGAGTTAGCAAATGTATTAAAAACCAGTAAGAGTATAACAATATCAACCTAATATAAACTTCTAATGGTCAAAGAACAAAAGGCATAGTAGGTTCACATTTCTGCGCATATTATTAGTAATCACCAGTGGTAGCTCCTTCCACCCCCAAAGGAGGAGGTACAGGCAAGAACTGCTTGGACATAGGTGCTTGTGTGCCAAAAATTTGAAGACAATGGAAAACACACGTTTCTCTGTATGTGAAGCTTTTTGCAATTATGAAGTTGGAGCTATTAAACTAACGAAAACAGGTAAAGAAACTTAACCTTGACGACAGGACTAGAACCAGTTCTTGCATCCCATAGTATGAGGCAAGAGTCATCACCAACACTACAAAACTCCTGAGCACTTTATCAGAAAAGAGTGAAAGTCAGTAGAAGTGTATAAATAGTTTATCTCAAAGCTGAAGCTGATGAATAGATACAAAAGGAAGAAAATAGCAGCAAATACGAAGATCTTTCACTTTTTGTTCAGAAAGTGTATTTGGAGGTGAAATTTTCTATATCAAATACAGAAAAATCATATCATCATGGCCCCTTCTTTCATCAGTCTATATTACTTGAGAGACCATAATTTTTATTCATGTAATTATTATTAATGACCATGCCAGTTACCTTGAAGGGCAAAATTGCACGTCTTCAACAGTATCGTCATGCCCTTGGAAAATACCTCGTGCTTGAATAGAAGGACTGTCCACAGGTTTATCATTACCCCCGCCAGCCTTGGGGGTCTTAATATTGGCACTGCCAGAGCCTGGAGACTTTGTGGCCCCTGAATCTGCTGCCAAGGTAGAGATATGATCATGTATACTCCATAGCACTACTGACTTGTCCTTCCCTGCGAAATGAAATTTGTTGTTAGAGTAGGAACAAATACATTCAATGTATAGTACTAAAACAGGAATTGATTCAAGAAGAAAAGAATCAATCTTATTATGGCAAAAGAAGGAAGCCAAGATCTCGAAGTTTGATGTCTTTTAGAATAAATACATAACATGTAAAAGACTCTTGAATTCATACTTATTGTTCATGCTTTCATGAAGTTTAGAATATCATGTGATCATTACACTCCAAAAGTTGTTTCCTGTGCATGCCTGAACAAAGGGGGGATATTATGAGGTCATAACAACATGATTTATTTAGTAGTATGTTCCTTAGAGCATTTGGATTTGGCATGAAACCAGATAAATATAAAAAAAATTGTTAATTCCGCCAAGTTTAGTGCCTTTTAATTAAATCTTCAGCTACAAATTACAAAAGAAATTCTCAAATTATGAGAAAGCTCCAATGTTTATAAACATGACATCACATTATTACAGCAAATACCAGAAAATTGCTTGATACATGAGGTTTTGGCATTTTGTTAAGCTCTTTGTGTTAAAAAATGGTTTGAGTTATTTGTGTAGTCTATAGAACTACATTTTCCAGAAGGTATCACTTTCAATTACATTTTCCAAACATGATATCTCGACCAGTTGAATGAGTTTAGGGCATCCACGCCCTAAAGGCTGTATAGGTCCAATCTGTCTTTACAGGCATCCCCAACATAGGTTAAGTTGGGTCAAAACTTCCATCAAATCCCATCAACAGATGCACAAAACCAAAAAAAAAAATGGCCACAAGGAAGGGGGGGTAGCATGGGCAATTGGTACCACAGTGGCCTATTTCGCAAACAATTTAAGACTCATGTAGTAACTTCACATGTGGTTACAAATTTGTCATTTGCTAATGCAGTTAAGCTCACACCACAACTAAAAATCAATGTATATGGCCAGTAGCTACTTGAAAATAATGGGATATCCAACAGACATAGCAAGTCATTCAGCTAGAAAACTACCAACATAGTGCATCATTCAATTAGGTAAAATACAACCAAGATAGGATTTTGCGCTTTTTAGATACTAGCAACATGCGGATCAAACAGATGGTGACGGTGTTTTGATCAAATCTCAACCCTTAGAGAACAGCTAAACCAGGAAAATCTCCAAAAGAAGACAGCATCTGAGTGTAGATCAAAACCTCCAGAGAGCACAAAGGGTTCAGTTGGGCACATGGCAAGAGCAAATTCTGCATCATCTTGATGCCCAGTTAATATCTGCAAGATGATGGAAATCAAGCTATCAGGATTCAGGCATCCTAATTGAAATGATGATATCAAATAATAAAGCAAAACAACACATTATGAATATTATGTATAGTTAACTTCCAATAAATAAATTAATGTTTCAAAGCAATTCTAGTCTTTCTAGGAGCTATGAAGACTTCAAAAGGCTGAGACAATAAACGCCTAACGATGGCAGGACTACTGTACAAGGTAATATGGAAAAATGAGGAGGACTCAAACTCATTGTTTTTTGCAGATGACGTACCAAATCCGGACGAGACTCTGTGGCTCCCAACACAGCATGACGATTAGGCTGAGTTTCAACATCCCAAATAAGGACCTGATTTCAAAGTTTCAAGAATCTACCCACATTCACTTTAACTGGCCTTATAAATATCAAAACTCTAAGGAAACGTAATTGAATCTACACAAGAACGAAAGACAGAATGTAAAAGGAAACTATAATATATGAAAGTAGGCACATACATCAGGACTGTCCGTGTGTGTGGCCACTATCTTGCTATTCTGTGGAAGTTCCCTGATTCGGTTAACCTGCACTAATATCATCAGATGCTAGGAAACCTTTGTTTATAAAAGTACAGAATTATGGTTTTGGGGAGGGAGGGTCAACTGAAGTTTCAACAGACCTGTTCAAATAAACACTTCAAATGCATTCAAACAAAGAATGCCCATATTTGTCTAGAAAATTACCCACAAAGGCATGATGCAGGACACAATTACAGGGTCTAGTCATCAGCCCACTCAACAAAATCATATATAAATTTTTGGGTAAATATCAACGACATCCCTGAATTCCAGTACAATAACACAGAGACTGCTGACATCTAAGAAACGAAAAAGAATTCTTATAAGAGATTTTACATTGGAGTTGTTAGAATGAGTATTCTACCCTTGTTCAACGAGTTAAAACTTCAAAAAACAACAACAAAATGGGGCAAATATGGGATACCAAACATAAATTTTAGCATGAGCGTATCTACTACAAGGCACAAAACATAGTCTCAAATGCTGGGGGATCTCCCGATTGCTTCAAAAAAACTCAAGGGGAATCAATGTAATTCAACCCTCTTTAGACAAAGTACAAGTCATAATTCACATGAGCCCTACCACTATCTCCACAAGTTTTTCACAGGAACATCATCTACTAAAATTCAATTAGTGTATACTACAAAAATCAGTTATCAAAATAGATCTTTTGGCACTGAGTATTGCTAATTTAAATTTATTGGAATGTGAAGAAAAATATTTTTGAAATTAACATAAATATCACTGGCTTTTGGACAATGGCCACATCAGCGAGAAATATAAATATGAACGAAGTTTGATATATAATCTCACTGCCAAATAACGGCTCTTACATCAAGCAACTTGATTATTTAATACTTTTTCTAAGAAATGCAACAGAACAATATGTGTGTACCATGCATACCCAAAAAGCCTAACAGGATATTTTACTAACTTACAACCAAGACGAAACAGGAATTGTAATTCGGAGTCAATTACAAAGTAATTTTTGTAAAACCAAAAAAAAAGTACAAAAAGATCTTCTCTTGGTATTTGCTTTATGAAGCTAGAAAAAATAACATATTGATGAATACCTCTCCAGGATGTATGATTGTTTTGAACTTCTTCACAAATGGAGAACGTGCTTCCTCATTAAACTGATTCACAAGCAACATTCCAACGAGTACTCAGCCAGGCGTATATCAACCGGTGTTAATCATATGAAAAACGAAGAATGGACCAGCAATTTAAGAAAGAAAGACACAAATAAAAGCAAAGAAAAACAAAAATAACTACATTGCTCATTGCAACACCACCTGTGATATGTGCTCTGCTGCTGCGACTCTCGGTTTTACAATTTCACAGTTTGCTATGACAAGAGTATTCGGAACACTACCGTCAGTCTGGAGGAGAAGGCCATGGAGTTAAAAACAATAAGAATATGGTAATTGAACAATTTGCAACGATGCACAACAGGCAACGAGATGGCACACTGACATAATGTCAACAGACAATATGAGGCAAACGATTGCATACCCATGGATGCAGTGACAGTCTCTTCAAAGATTTTATTATTAATCTGAAAACATTGGAAGTGCAATCAAAAGAACAAAGATTCACAGCAAGAGTGCGAGGCAATGATACTAGCAGAGTGGTGCCACCAATTTGTCTAACATATACCCAATCACTTGCTCCCATGACTCCTACATATAGTCTAAAGAATATATGCCGAAACAGCATGCTACCAACAATGACCTTATGACACAGGTATCCAAATGCCTCTTAACTTCAAGTTTTTGATCTGGATTGACCAGAGTTCAAACGCTTGAGACTAGTTTTTAAAATTGCAAGACCACCATAAATTATCCCCGCGATAAAATCCCATTTGAATATCCCGTGAAAAATGACTTCTTCTTTAGGGGTTCAACATACGAACTCAAATGATGGTATACTTTTGAAGCAAAACCATTCCTTCAAACATTTTAATCTGGGTTATTAAGCATTACTTAAAGTAAAAACTCCCATTTTCTTCAATAGTACTATCACATCATATTGATAGATTTGCCTTCCAATGCATATGTCCAATATAAGGAAAAAAATTCAACTTTTATTGGGCATCCAACATGCAATAAACAACATAGTACTCAATCATATAAGATCATTGGTAGCTGTTCGCTTTATGTTTTCCACACATCCAATGCTTAAATATAATGCAGGGAGGACTACAAAATTATGTTACCTGTTCAGAAAGGTAGAGTCGCTGACGATTCTTGTAAGTCGCTTGCTCTAGTTGTGGCCCCCATCTACGATTTCCCCCAAACAAAGGAGTAGAGACGAAGAGAGAGTGATTTAGTCAAAATATTTATTAATCCTTAACTATAAGGAATCAAGCAAACGCAAATAAAATTAGCAAGAAAAAAAAATACCTAATTCAAATACCCACATTCACCCCATGTGACTATTATCAACGAATAGCTCTTAGAAACTAATCTTAAAATATAAAATTGCCCTACCAAATACGCAACATAAATGCTTCTCTCATGTTTGTTGAAAAATGCAAATACATGACATAATTCAGTTTAACTCTCAAATTTCTCACTGCTTGACAACGAACAAAAAAAAAAAACTATTCTCAGCTGCGCTTGATAGGACCATGTGGCATGTTAGCGAAGACAACATGATGCAAAATAGTAAAATATTCACATTTTCTTCCATTTCCATCACTTTCTCGGCCACCAAACAAGGGTTTAAAGATAGGTTCTAAAGACGGAATAAAATACAAACCACTTAGTGTATGATAAAAGTCCTAGAAGAGTGTAGAGGGAAAACAGATAAATGCAAGCTAAAATATAAAACCCTAGAAGACGAGAGAGCACAAGTGCGTGGGACAGAAAGAGGGGGATTGTACGGACCGGCAAGAGAGAGAGGGCCAAACGAGGTTGTGGTTGGCGAGCCAATCGTAGAGGACTGGGACAAGTGATTTCCACTGAGTGTATCGCTCGTCCACCGACGGTTGTCCTTTGCCTCCTCTCTCCTTCATCGTCTCTCTCACTCTCTCTCTCTCTCTCTCCCTCCTCTGTGTCGTTTCTCCTTTTTGTTTTCCCGCCTGCTTCGTTGTTATGCAGAACTCTGCTTTTATTTACTTTACTCTGATTTTTTTGGGGGGGCCTGCTTCGGCCGGCAATAAGCCTAATCCATTTGGCCCGACCCGACTCTTCAGCCCACAGAGTCCTAGCCCATTTTAGGCTCGCCCCACGCCGAACAAGAGTAATCATGTGACTCTTTCCAATATCATGAGAAGGGTTATTATTATTTCTCCCAATATGATATTTATTCGACCAACTAGTAATATGTAATCTAACGATTGGGCCAAAAACAATACTACACTCTTGATGATGCACAAAAGCGAATTATGCACAATTAACACTAGAGTATGTAATATAGTATAGTTAATTGATAATTAATGTAACAATGAATGACAAAAAGATAAATATCGAACCAACACACAAATATATAGTGATTCGGTTTAGGGTGATCTACTCCGCTTTGAAAAACAGCAACAGGGGCCTGAGAACCTTTATTAATAAATAAAGTAAAAGAGATAAAATTTGAGAAGAGGTGTGCTCCAAGAGAGGCATAATAACTAAAAGAGATAAACGTTATGTAAAAGGTGTGTAGAGATGTGTCATCTTATGTGGAGAAGACTTACGATTTATAGGCACTGAGACTTAATTGAGACAGTGACGTGAAGGTAAAAGCACCGGTCATTCCAGATGACAACTACAATAGGTAAGTATAATTAAATGTAGCATTGATGAATGAGTATCCCGATGATTATTTCTCACGTGCATTAATCTTCTTGGACCTTTTGGACAGTGGGCTGGGTCGAATTGACGAAATGGTCATGACATGCTTTTGTGGCTGATTTTGGGCTTCATTGATTAGTTTAGTCAACCCCAGTAAGAATTGGGCTCGTAAACTCTTATCAATTTTTCATGACAAATTTCTCTATGATATCATAATTGAGTATTATATTCATTTCAATTATGTATTATACACTAATTTAAGTCAAATATTTAGATAAATAACAATTTATACCCCAAAAGATTAAAAAAATATCAATTTATATCATCAAAGATCAATTGTTTCAAATTGGATTATCAATTAATTTAATTGGTAGCAATGTAACACTAATCATAACGTTTGTTGTGATTTTTATCAAATTGACAGTTAGGTGAGACGTACATGAAAAAGGGAATGGTCATAATCTAATAAATGCCATCATGTCCATTTCATAGGACTGTCAATTTAACGAAAATTGTAATCTTAGACATAACATTCATGTCGATTTTTATTAGGTTGAAAAGCACGTGACACGCACATGAAAAGAGAAGCGTCATAATCTGACAAAAGTCATCACGTGCATCTAATGTAACTGACAATTTAAAAAAAAATGTAATGAATATTATAGTTGGGGTCACGTTACTAATACTTAATTTAATTTAGGATAAAATTTGAAACAATTGATATTTAAGGGTGTAAATTAAAATTTTTAATCTTCCGAGGTGCAAACCATTATTTGCCGTAAATATTTTACATATATATATTTTTATAATTTTATTTAATATTAATTTAAATCTATCACAATTCTTAATATCATTAAAAAAATTATGCAACAGTTGCGTGGGATTCCACGTTCAACAAAAATGTGCGCATGGCATGGTGGCTGTGTATGATTCATTTTTTTTTTTCTCCTGAAAATTTAAACATTTTTGACGTGGTAGGATAATACTATAATCTTGGTCCGAAGTTTGATTCTACGTGATGAGGGGTTAAGATTTGTTTGATCAAAAGAACGCAGCACTAAGCTTAACAATGATTGGTGCGTGCATCCACGCGTACAAAGTGCTTTTACGACGCCGTCCTCGTATCTGGAAAGGGCAAAATGGACGGTCCGTGGGCCCCAGAGTCGGTGATGCGTTGGAATGAATGCCACTGCCATCATCCTTCACCAGAACTGTTGATTTTCCTATTTAATACCGAACCGTTGATTTATTTCTCTTGTTTGGTTATTTTTTTAGGGTGAATGACATTTTATGCCCCAAAAGATTTGCCAATTATCAATTTAATCCTAAAATATTAAAATTATCATACTATACCCTCATTCAGATAAAAATATAGCAATATAGTCCAAAATTAAATATTTGTTGCCATTCTAACAATTTTTTATTGTATTTGTCATATTATTATATTTTTATATAACAAATTTTTAAGTGTTTTAAATAAAAATTTGGAACTAAAATTTGAGAAATGCTACTTGAACATAATTTACTAATATAACGAATTATCATGTCTATTTGGAGCTAACTTTTTTGAGTACAAAATAGAGGTTTAAAAAGTGAAAAAAAAAATCGGAGTTAAAAAAACTCTTAAAATTGTTTGGTATGTTTTTAAAAAAAAAAGACTTTTTTCCTTGAAAGTCTTTGAATAAGCATAATTTTTAAGCTTTTCATTGGTATTGATAAATAATTTTTTTTGTAAAAAAAAACTGATAAAAAAACTTTCCAAGTAACCGGGGTTCAAGCAAAAATTACTTCTTTTACTCCAAAACAAAAAAAAAAAAGAAGAAATTTAAGCCACCGCCAAACAAACCCATTATCATTAAATTGATAAATGGACCTAATATTAGTTGAGATTTATTATCAATTCAATAATTTTAATATATTAAATCAATAAAATTAAGTCAAAATAACATTTGTCTTCTTAGTATTTTTAGAATAGAGCAACATTATTGCATTTTTTTTATATTATTTAGGGTATAATATGAGAATTTTAATTTTTTAAAATATAAATTGAGAATATAAGAAACTTTCGCGGTCCAAAGTGTCATGTACTCTTTTCTTACTTGTATCTGGTATTTTATTCTACTAAATCCCTTTTTTTTTTTTCATATCATCGGACAGTCGAGCCCACTTTTGAGAACGAGGATTAAATTGATGCCAATCTGAGATCCTACTTCGCTCTCTTCTTCAATTCAATATTGGATCCAACAATTCTCAGGTACCTGTTCGACGATCAAGTCCACACAGCTCAGCGAACATCTCACATGGGTATGCGTTCGATTTCTGATGATCAGATCCAATCGATCCGTAATATTTATCTCTACCAGTTCTCAGTTTCATATCAGGATTCGATAATTAAACTGCCCTATTTAATGATCTGGTTTTACTATGCTTGCTATTAATCTTGGTTATCTGTTAGGGTTATGTTCTTTAATGCATGTAACAGAAAGGAGTAGAATTTATGCCCCTTTCCGTTTCTTTGTAACCGTGTTCTTCGAATTTTGGGTATGTTTAAATATTCACTCTTTATTGTATGTTTTATTGATATGCTTATATATTTATCACAATTTTGATACAGATTTTAGGAATTTTTAGAAATATGTATCATGAACTGTAGTTTGGTGAAAATGTGGTTACTATAGATTTTTCATGTTCTTGAGATCTTTGGTTATGGTGTTGTTTGATGTTGATTTTTGTGAAAAAGAGCTTCTCTGCGTGGTTCAGTGAGAATGTGAATAAAGCTCCTGCTGAACTGAGTTAATGTGATAGCTCTGGCTTGGTTGTGATGAGCTTCATAATTGGGGAACTGAAAAAAAAAACATAAGGTTTGATATTATACATGGGTATATTTTGTTTTGCCTCAATTTTCTGATCAACTGAGTCAATATAGAAAACCATGGATTAAGTAGGAATATGTTGAGCATGGTACAGTTGGCATGTATTTAGTTTAAGAAGATTACGTTCTAATGCTTGGGGATTCTTAGAGGACTTCCAGTTTAATTGATATAACTAATTTGGTCTTTTGAAATGATAAACTATGTTAATATTGTTAAAACAAATTAGTTTGGTATTGTGAAGCTATGACATTCATTATACCGAATGAATTTGACTGATCTCTGATTGAAAGAAAATTTGGTTTCATCAGAGCAATGTCTTGGTAGGTATGGCTAATACTAATGTTTTCCTTTTCAGATAAAGATGACAAATGCTGTTCCACTCACCTCATAGACGGTGATGGTACCTTCAATGTTGATGGACTTGAAGGTTTTACGAAGGAAGTGAAGCTGGCTGAATGTGGACTTTCTTATGCTGTAGTTTCCATCATGGGGCCGCAAAGTAGTGGTATGAAACTGCTATAAAAATTAATCACACTTAGTTATTTTTTTGTAAAGGGTCTCTATTTTCTAATTTTTGTTTCAAAATGACCATATTTTGGAATATCTGTTTCTCCTCATGGATAAAGATATATCATGCATAACTATTTCACTGTGGTGCATGTGTCGCACATATTGAAAGCCAACCAAATTATATGATATTAATGACTTGGTAAAGTTTATACACATTTTCTTTCTAATGTAGCTATTTTGTAATGTTTTTCTTTCTTTATCCCCCATCCTTATCTTTCTTTTTGGAGGGCATTGCTGGGAGTGGTTGTTTTGTTTCTTTGCCAGGCAATGGCATTCATTAACGTGTTGTGCCTGAGATTGTTTAATGCACTTCACCTATGCTTTGCTTACTGAATTGATTTCTTTTTTAATTCTCACAGGGAAGAGCACCCTACTAAATCATTTGTTTGGTACCAACTTCAGAGAGATGGATGCTTTTAAGGGAAGGCATGTACTTGTACTGCTATTCTGGCATATCACTTTCTTTTTATTTATATTATTTTAAAAACTGACTATTAATTTTTCATAGGTCTCAAACCACAAAAGGTATTTGGATGGCAAGATGTGGTGGTATTGAGCCTTGCACTATTGTAATGGATTTGGAGGGTACTGATGGAAGAGAACGAGGAGAGGTGATGTTGCTAACCCTTCTACATCGTGACTTCATTGACTTGTGGTTGTTTCGATCATTCGATAGCTTATAATGCTGTTGTGGTTTTGAAATATAGTTAGCTCATACTGTGAATTTGAATTCATTGCTGCAAGATCAATCCATGCATATTAGGTCTGTCTGTATGCTTGTTTTCTTTTCTTCTTTTTTTCGTATGTATAAAAGTGAATAAGCGTGTTTTGTCACATGAGAACATGTTTTGAACTTGATAGTAGCCACCCTCTGTAGATTATGCCAAATGTTAGTAGAGTAGCCACATTGTGTAGATGGTGACAAATGTTTGGCGTTAATCCACCCCTCCTAGCATCCCATATTGGTGAACATTGAGTGGTTTCTATGTACCATACCATTTCAATGGTATTATCTCCCAAGGACATAGTACTGATTTATCTGTGACACTAGGATTCTTTCAAGTTGCCGTTCGTATCCCAGGATTGAAACCTGGATTTTCCAATTCTCGGGTAATCAATACCTTGAGAATTCGATTTCTCAAATGTTAAAATTCTATTGTTCATGTGGCCATAATAATTCAGTTGGATATCTGAAGATTTAATTTTTTAACAATTGGATGATTTTTTGAATTCTCATGGGCTTTTATGTTTGTTCAAAACAATCTTGTTGTTTGGCCATCTGACATCATTCTTGTTGCTTTTTGATGAATGAATAGCAGGCCCTTATATTTGCTTTGTTGTATTTGGTCTTTTTCCTTTTACTTGATAATGATAAAATGGTTTAATTTTTTGATAAAATAAAGTGACCACAATCAATCAAGCCAAGAAAAGTACAGATATTTTATTGGATGAGTAGGGGTAATATAGTGCTCTTTTGATCCATGTTTTTAGTGTGTGAAAAATAGGTTTGCTTAATGACTTAATCATAATTAATTGTAAGAGACAATTGGAACTCACTGCATAGGTACGAAGTTAATGGAGCAGATCGATGTTTGTTTTCAATGAATATTGAGTGTACTGATGTATCTGATTTAGTGATTACAGATGACAAGTTTTCTTTGATCCGTTTCCCTATTTTGACACATAAGTGATGAATAGAACAGGCTGCTGCAGTATTGCTTGCTATCGCTAATTTGTCCTTTGTATATATACTCATTGTTTCAGGATGATACGGCATTTGAAAAGCAGAGTGCACTTTTTGCTCTTGCTGTTTCAGATATAGTGTTAATAAACATGTAAGTTCGTTTTTCTGGTGCAGACTTGGTGTGTTGTGTGGGTTCAGCAAATTTCTTACAATAAAGATGTTTTATGTTATTATTGTAATTTATGTGAGTAATTCTATGGAGAACTATATTATTTAGGTGGTGTCATGACATTGGACGTGAGCAGGCTGCAAATAAGCCCCTTTTGAAAACTGTATTCCAGGTATCTTATGTACCTGCAAAACATGAGCCTTTATTTATAATCAATAATTCTTCAGGAATTCAACTTCATGATGGCCCCTCTACAGGTCATGATGAGATTATTTAGTCCACGCAAAACAACTTTAATGTTCGTCATACGCGATAAAACAAGGGTAAATTTCTTTCTTTCATTTCCCATAACATCATGTTGCTTTAGATAGTGCCAGTATTGTATTCGATCAGCATTTTTTTTCATCCCGTGAGTTAAGATTTGAGGATGTGGACTGAGCTCGAATGTGTTTATCTATCTTTCTGTATATAGACACCTCTGGAAAACTTAGAACCTGTTCTGAGAGAAGATATTCAAAAGGTAAAGAATATGCTAATTCTTTCTTTTTTGCACTCTTAATGTTTGTTGATTTTTCTAACCTTCTTTTGATGTGGGACTCTGCAGATATGGGACTCTGTTCCTAAGCCACAAGCCCATAAGGAAACTCCCCTAAGTGAATTTTTTAACGTAAGATGCCATGGTCTTGCACAGGATGAGCTTTGACATGTCTTTATTTGCTCATTGATATGGATATGTTCATATAGTAAAGGTGTTGTTACTGTTCAATGGCCAGGTTGAAGTTGTGGCTCTTTCTAGTTATGAGGAGAAGGAAGAACAATTTAAAGAGCAGGTACATTAGACATGCATGTTTGATGTCTCACGGGGGATCTTTAGACACCATCGAGTAATTAAATTACTTATGATTTGTTCATACTTTATATCATAAAGACGAACAAATTTTGTTGCTTGTACCCGATTTTACATGGAATAGAATTAAGCTACATTTTGGATGAAATTCAGAGATACCTTTTTGTACTGTTTCCATTTTTTGTCTTGGCCACTCTTGTTTTGATCTTTTGTTTGCTTTAGTTTTTAAATATGCTATTCATTTTGTTTAGGTTTTATAAAATAGGAGTTATATCATATTATCACCTAATTGTAGTGCATATGATATCATAGAATGATTCCTTTGCATATTCAGTATTTTAAGTTAAAAGGATATAGCATGTGTGCTTTATTTTTGTTTTTTGCATAATGAAGGTGGCTAGTTTGAGGCAGCGATTCTTCCATTCGATAGCTCCTGGTGGGCTTGCTGGAGATAGGCGTGGTGTAGTTCCTGCTTCAGGGTTTTCTTTTAGCTCACAACAGATCTGGAAAGTCATTAAGGAGAACAAGGACCTAGACCTGCCTGCTCACAAGGTAATAACTTGAAAATCTACTCTTCGGAAGCTAATCAACTATTTTACAAAGCTTTACATTTTTTTTTAATCTTTTGTAGGTCATGGTGGCCACAGTACGTTGTGAAGAAATTGGCAATGAAAAATTATCTTCTTTTGTTGCGAATGAGGTACATTTTTATTATATTTGATTTTTACCTTAATTGTTATGCATTTTAAATTATTTAGTTACGTATTTGTTGAAACTAATCTGTGTCAAAATTATTGTAGCATTGGTGTGAACTAGAAGAGACCGTGCAATCTCATCCTGTTCCTGGCTTTGGAAAGAAGCTTAGTTCCATTATTGACACTTGCATGTCGGAGTAAGTACATGTCCCCCGAAGCAGTATATATTTCATTGGTTCAGCGGCAGGTTTTGATTGATTCTTGCAATGCATCAATTTTATGGTCTCTACCAATAGTGAGCTGACCGAGGTAGCTAAGACCAAATGCTTTCTTGAGGAGATATGTATGCTTTTATGATTTGTCTGTCTTTGCTGATTGTTCTGCTAGTATAAAATGGTTAGATAGGACAGAAGATTTGGGAATTATTATTCTCTATAGTAAGTGTTAAGCAAACTGATGAAAGGAAAGCCATGACCGGTGGGCTGTATTTAGCGAAATGCTTCTAGTAGACCTGCCTGGAAAATATTCATTGTTTGATAGGATTGATTGGGTTATTTGGGCTTTTAAAAGATATAGATTTAAAATGTGAGGGTGGACAATCCTTTGGCATATGTGCTAGCAAGCTTCATTGATGCTAGGACCATGCTACTTATGACTTCAAGGTTTTAGCAGGATGGTCATATGCTGCATGATGTTGTGAATTGGCACGATCTTTTATGTGATTTTTGATCTGTGCAGTTGAGATGAGGCAAGTCAATTTTTGGGGGTTTAGGATCTGGCACTGTTCAGGGGGATTCCTGGATTTATCAAATAAAATCTGGTTGAAATATTTAAAAATAGCTGGTTGAAGAAATCATGTTGTGAGCAATTTCTGCAATAATCACGAGCAAGTCATTTGGTGTAGGCTTTCTTGTTGAAGAGGGTAAAAAATCATTTTTGATGTGGCATTGTTGCTATATGTAAAATGACGATGTGTCGTGTGTGTACCTTAGGTTGATCCAAAGCTGTATGAAAGTTTGTAAATTAAGATCTACCTTTGCTTATATTTTAGAGCAGATGGTGTTTCTAGATTCTAGAACACTCTAGGCCGAGTGATCAATCTATTCGAGGTGCCACGCAGATAACATACTTCACTGTTTCTGCTGTGATTTGTTGCAAGTTTACCAATACAATCACCTTTGGGACCTGAGCACAGGAAACAAGAAACATTCAAAGGGAAGTAATATATGTTACTGTAGAAAGTGCAGCGTAAAAACTAACAATTACTTTCTCGTAATGTTATCAGAACATACATTTTGATGTTTTCAGTAAACAACCCGACATTTACATGTTTCACTCAGCATGGACTGTTTATCCAATTGTGGGTAGAATTAGAATTGAGACTACTCCTCCAACATGGGGGTCAGAAATTAAATAATCCATTGTGATCGACTATAACACTCTACTCGGAGTCCCCTACCTCAACACACACCTCGCTTCTCGAGATACTTGATTGGCATGAAACAAAGGAACAATATCTCTCTCTCTCTCTCCCCCCTGGGGTCTTTGCTGTGATAGCCAAACAGTCATACAAACCTCTTGAGGAGGGTGAGGTGCGATGCCTGTTGGTTGATAAGTTGTACCACATCGCCCAGGTATATAGGGATCCAGTGCTACATATGTAGTTGTTCATCATAAATCATTGTGACGCATTGTGTTGGGGCATAGGGTGATTCCCATGCCGCACAAACAAAATGTCCTCCGTGCATTCTTATGTGGAAGTTGGATACAACATTGTCACACCCAAGATGAATTTTAAAGTCATGACTCATGAGAGTACCCAAGCGGATAATATCACATGCAATTGGGCCGGGTTGTGATATTTGTATGTCTGCTTGGATTGTTACTATACCGATACTAAACATTTTGTCTGCAACACTTGCAGTGAGAAATGGAGGAGAAACTACACCTACTTTTATGGTGCCAACATTTTGTTCTTTGTTATTATGCTCTTTTAAGAAGTTTGATTACTGTGGTTTCTATCCAAATGAAATTTGAATCTTGTAGTTCAGTCCTTATATCAAATAATGGTTATTAAGAATTACTTTTATGCTTTATTGGAGTTAATCCCTGTAGCAGTAGCCAGTGTGGTAAACTAGGTCCTTGAGCACTTTCCATATTTACTTTGGTGGTGAAGTGAGGGAATAGAATTTTGTTGTTGCTTAATATGGTTGACTTATGGTGGGAATTGTAATATATTGGCCAGAATGTTGGTAGCAATACTCGATTGTCTCAATGTGTTATGAGCGATGGTTTGCAGGATCTCATTTTTTTGGTTTGGTTTTCTTGCCTGTTGATAGGTTTAGTTGACGCTGATTTTTCATACAGTTTCCTTTTCTGAATGGTGCTGATAAATTTACAACGATTGCTGATTTATTCATAATATCTCTCCTGTCAGATTTGATGCAGAGGCTATATATTTCGATGAAGGTGTTAGATCCACAAAGCGAAAGCAGTTGGAAGAGAAATTGCTTCTGGTAATGATTCTCTATTTCTTTTTTTGGAACTTAGGTTCTATCTACTACTTTGTGTTCTATTCATGATCATACTGTTTTAGTGACGTGCTGGCAATCTCTATATTCCAGATATAATATAAGGGATGGGAAAATGAATCATCCCATTGAGATTTTCTATAGCAATATCGCGTGTGGTGCTGCATAGTGTGTAAAGAAGAAAAAGTAAGAATGCTACAAAAGAAGAAGGCTCTTGTAGTACCTTCCAGTGATAGGGTTGCTTTCCTACCACGCATGTTTTGATAGAAAATTTGCATGTCTTTACTTTTATTTATTTTTAAATTATTTTTTTACCAGAGTCGCCTTCCCTAACAAGCTGGTAGTGGGGGAGGACTAGGTCACTTGAAGTCTTTGTTTGAGGCCAAGTGTCAAAACAATTCTATGTTTTAATATTCAACTTTAGATTAACAACTGTTATTTTGTTATTATTTGTATATCTTTTCCTTATTGCTTGTCGTCTTCTGGTTTATTAGCTTGTCCAACCAGCTTACCAATCCATGTTGGGGCACCTACGGTCTGGAACGCTGGAGAAATTCAAAGAAGCAGTTGATAGTGCTTTAAACTGTGGACAAGGATTTGCTGTGGCCGCTCGTGATTGTGTTGAGTTGGCCATGAGATTATTTGATGAAGGATGTGCAGGTGTAGTTACGGACTAAACAATGCCACTATTATTATCCAACTTTATCCATGTCTGACACAGAAGTTTGTTTCTACTTGCAGGCTTTTACTTTATAATTATATAACCTAATTTTATCTAGTATACAATACTAGGACTTCTGTATGCAAGATTTTTTTTTTGTTTCTGTTCTGTTTTATTTTATGTTGTCAATCTTTCTATTCTTGATTTGCCCACAGACGCAAAGCATTTCATGACCTGTTCAAACTCTCCTACCACTGCTATAACCACTTATAATTGATTTAGGTGCACTTATACTAGTGTTGTTACTTAACTTCGCAAGGGAGAAAGTTAAAATTACTGATCTATGTGGATATTGTTTTTTTTGTTGCAGAAGTGATGAATTAAGATCAAGGATAAGTGTTAAGAATTTGAAGCTTAGGGAACATAATTTCTTGAAGTTATATATTAAGTACTGGTTGCTAAATTTAGATTGGAATATCTCTTAGGAATTTTGTTTGACTGTATTATCACATTTTATCTTTCTTAGTCCTAAGGTAAATAGGTTGCTGCTTATAAGCTCCTTGTCACCTACTTTTTTTTTGAGGTGCCTGTAAACTACTTGTCACCTGGTAGGTTTATGTACTCCTTTGTGCAGCAACCTCCTTTAGTTTTTTTTCCATTTATAGCATAATATCTCTTTGCAGGAGGGTTTTCTTGAAAAGAGATTTTGGACCGTCTTAGTCTGTTTCCTTTGGACTTGGTTGTGAGTCTCATAGCTCATGTCTTCAATCCACTTTTGCTGGAATTGCAGATCTTTAAAATATAGTTTTCCAGTATTTTGGCCTTGATCCAATTGTTACTTAAACCCAATTTTGATTGTAGCCATGGGATTTTTTGTCTGGACTGCATCATGAAGTACTTGTACCATTGTTCGCATTGGGTGGAAAGATCAACTTGATTGTTGCTCATCTCAGAAAGCATGCACTATGGCCGAAAACAAGTTAACCTCACTCGATCCCTGATGCATAGCAACAATATTTGCATAAAGCAACGATTTCTTTAAGCAGTGTGCTATTGGTCTTTCATCCAACAAAAGAAAGGAAGACAAATGTAACATATTGATTTAAAATTTTTAAGTTTGAATTATCCCAACTCTGGTATAACCTTTTCTTTTGTTAGTTGTTTGGTACATTTCTTAGATGAAATTGGGTTATATTGCTAAGCATTTTTTCCCATTTTGCTTTTGAAGAAACTATTTTCGGATACTGAAGGGGTTCAATATCATGGTTTGAATGGCAATAATCTGCATAGCAACTTAGCAAGTAGGAATCTCTGGGACACTAATCAACTAACTTTGCAGATGCCATCATCAAACAAGCAAACTGGGACTCATCTAAAGTAAGGGATAAGCTTTGTCGGGATATAGAAGCATATGTTGTTGCAGTTCGTAGTGCTAAGCTGTCCGAACTTACTACCCTCTATGAGGTAATGATTACTTGTAAGTTAATGACTTGAGAATCAACATCATGTGGCTTCTGTAATTATTGAAAACTGTTGGAAATTTTTTTATGGAAGTTTAGGAATTTGGAGGAGTTGTTTTCCGTACTATAAAGAACTTTACCATGATAAGGATTCATTTGCAGGAAAAATTGAACTTGGCATTATCTGGGCCTGTGGAAGCTCTTCTAGATGGAGCTGGTGATGATACCTGGCCAGCAATAAGGAAACTTCTTTGCCGAGAGACTGAAACAGCTGTCTCTAGGTTCTCTGTTGCACTTTCTGAGTTTGAAATGGATGAAAAATCCAAGGTACAGATGCTTTCGAGGTTAGAGGATTATGCAAGAGGAGTGGTTGAAGCAAAGGCAAAAGAAGCAGCTGGGCGAGTTCTGATGCATATGAAGGACCGGTACTGATTCCATACAACATTTGAATCCTGTTTTTTTTGTTTGTTTTCAGATTCATATTAGTTGCATTAGTTGAGTTCAGATGATCGACTTGTTCTTATGAGGATCAACATTAAAATCTTCCACAGGTTTTCAACGTTATTTAGCCAGGATGCTGATTCAATGCCACGGGTCTGGACTGGCAAAGAAGACATTCGTGCAATCACCAAAACTGCTCGCTCTGCAGTATGACCTGCATAATTGAAATTCTTCATAATAAATTTTGTTCTCTCAATTTATTCGATGGTTATTCTCTTGCAGTCTCTGAAGCTGCTATCCATCATGGCAGCAATCCGTTTGGATGACGACTCGGATAACATTGGGAATACCCTGGCCCTTGCTTTGGTGGATACCAAGAGTGGTGCTGTTAGCAGTAAGAACTCCACTTCGTTTGACCCATTGGCTTCAAGTACATGGGAAGAGGTGATCATTCGAATTATTCAAATTGTTTGCATTTGAAGTTTGGCGACTGTACGGCTAAGGCAGTTGCCTAAGGCCTCACCTTAAAAACAGACTATATTTTCTTTTAAGCCCATTTGATCCTTAATTCTAATATGGTGAGTGTTTCGGGTATCAAAAATAATGTTTTTGGAAAATGACTTGCAAAATCAACCTAGTGGTCCCATCTAGGAAAAAGGCTCAAATGATGTAGTACAAAATTTGACAATAACATTGAGAATATATCTTTGATTACTAGTTTTCCTTGTTAGTTGCACTTTACAATAACATTGAGAATGCAAAAACTTAATTAGTTATTTTGCATCTCAAAAAGCAAAAGAATGAGTTTTACATAAAAAGTTTTGCACTGTAAAAGTTAATAAATGTTATTTATAATGACATTTAATCCTCAAAAGACCACACTACGAGTTGGGGCCGTAGGCCTCTCCTGGCATTGGGCCACCCCCATTTATAAACTTCCTGGATAGGTTCTTGTCTCCTTAAAATGAGCCCATTAAATGGATAGTTTTTTTGAGCATATAGCATATACAACTCTATTAGCTACCATATCTCTTCTCATTATTATTCCACAACACACATGTTGGTGTGAGCTTCAACTTTGTATAGTTCACAAATGCCTGTATTTTTTAATATATTACATAATTTTTCTAGGTTGTGATTGCCTTGAAGGATTTGATGCCTTTTATACTGAAGCACACAAATCTGTGATTCATTTGGAACTCATGTTACAGCATTGCATCAGAATATTTCTTCCTTACCCTACAGCACTAACTACTACTTGTGGTTGGTTTTTGCCCACCCAGGTTCCAGCATCAAAAACATTGATCACTCCTGTCCAGTGCAAATCTTTGTGGAGGCAATTTAAGTCAGAGACAGAGTACACAGTTACTCAAGCCATTGCTGCACAGGCATGATCTCATACATATTATACTTCTAAAAACAACTTAATCCTTTTATACTATGTTTACTTTTGAAATGTCAAATTGACTAGTTTTAATTTTGGGTGATTTTTTATTGTTACTTTTTACAAGTGGCGAAGTCTGTGTGATACACTTTAATTTTTCTTTTTCTGTTTTACCTTCCAGAAAAAAAGATGTGTGGTACACTGGTACGATAAGACAGCAGATGAGTGAATATGCAAAAGAAAATAAGAATTGGGAGAAGAGTCACACATTAAGATACCAGTTAATTTGAAATGTATATTACCTGGACAGCAGCCCAGCATTATATAATGTGGATGCAATCATTTTCTTTGTGATGGTGAACCCACATATAGGCATTTAAGTTGGGCTGTCATTTAAGCTGTGGTCAGTCTGTTGGGTGAACTTGTTTTATAGCATCAAAGGAATTATCTGGTGTTTGTCCCATGAATCGTGGGTATTGGAAAGGCCGCATCGATTGGGTTACTCATTCTTCGTAAATGAAGGCTACTGCTGTATTAGGCTTGCTTGATGTCAGTACGAGCTTTAGAATAGCATGTTCTATTTCTGCTTCACGGACTAATGTTATCTTTCCGCTATTTAACTTATTTACTTCTATATCCTCTTCTTAAGATGTTTGATTTTCCGTATTCTACAACGTTAAATTCTAAACTTAGTGTTGTGTGTAATAAATTGTGCTGGACAATTCCCTGCTTGAAGTTCCATGCAGGTTTGGTGTCTGCCATGTGGTGAAAATTCATTAACATGTTGAATTCGATGTATCTTGCACAAATATTACCTTGTTGTCAATGGCACCTGATTGTCTTTTTCCTCTCTTCTTGACTTTCAGGAAGCTAGCAGGCGTAATAACAACTGGTTACCACCCCCTTGGGCAATTGTTGCCTTGGTTGTACTGGGATTTAATGAATTCATGACACTTTTGAGGTAATTATTCTCCATGTGTTATTTTTCCATTTTTTTGGTGGGCATGCCAGCTTTAGATCCCCAAGCGTTTAGAACTGTGCTGTGCTTATTTTTTGATTGTCTTCATGGCAGGAATCCTTTGTATTTATTTATCATCTTTGTTGCTTTTCTCCTTTCTAAAGCCCTATGGGTGCAACTAGACATCTCGGGTGAATTCCGCAATGGCGCTGTGAGTATCACAATATTACAATTATTCATTCCCCAATATTGTGGGTTTGGAGGCAAGTTCATTTATGATTGACTTTAAGAAGGCATATGTCCAGCAGAATTTCATGGACCTCTAATTTTTACCTCTGAAAGGGGCCTTTTTGACTTGTTCTGGTGGACATCAGATATTATTCCGCAATTCTTGCTCTCGGAGATACCCCAGAAGTATTAACATTTTTTATTGTTTTTGGTTGACACTGACTTTGGATTGTGCATCCTTTCAGCTTCCTGGACTTCTCGCCTTATCCTCCAAGTTCCTTCCCACTGTCATGAACCTTCTTAGAAAGTTAGCGGAGGAGGGCCAAAAGCCTGCTACGAGTGATCCTCAGAGAAATCCTTCGCTAGCATCAAAGAATTTTCGAAGTGGAGGGAACAATAATGGTGATTTGTCATCAAGTGCTTCATCTGAGGTAACTACTTCGGAAAATGGAACCGAGTACTCAAGCCCTGCAGTACATAACAAATCAAATTAAGTTATCGGATTTTCCATGAATACATAAATTTTCTTCTGTTTGGTCATGCTGTTTTTCTGCTGGCTAGAAATTGATATGCTCCATGAATAGGGTTCATGGGTTAAGTTCTTAATTGTCATGACCAGAAAACGGGGTTAGCCTCTTACTATGAGAATGTCAGAGAAAATATTTTTAAGGCATTGATTTTGTGCAAGTGCCATGTACTGGGGCTGTGGTGATTATGTAAAGCCCCACGAAATAGTTTTTTGTAATCTTTTTTTTTCTTTGTGTGCGTTGGGTTAGGGGGTTCCTTTTCTAGGGGTTGGTTCTGTTTCTTATTTGTGTGGGATACGTCAATGGTCCTCCTTTTATTAGATTGGTGTCGATTATTCATAGTTGTGGTAGTTTTGACTCGGGATAAGCTCTGTGCTCCCCTGTATTTGTATCTATGGATGGGCGTTTGATGATTAATGAACCTCCTTGTATGTGACTGGGACATATAATTCCTGTATGAAATAACAGAAAGACGCCATTATTTTGCTCTGCTAGTTGTGAAGTACTCAGTGTTGAAGGACACATTGGATTACGTTATTGAAGTTCACTTTGCACCCAACCCCCCCTTCTCTCGTTGATATTTGTATATTAAAATTTTCGGTGATTAGAAACTTCAAATGCCTATAAAGACCAAAGGACATTAGTGGTGTAGGGTTGAACTTGGGTGTATCGTAAACTTGGGTGGTGTTTGGGTTTTACATTTACTTGTGTTTTCCGAGTTTAATAGATACTTGTGGTTAATCGGTGATTGTAGGTATTTGGGATTTGATTTTGGTTTGTCAAATGTATCGATGTAAAAAAAAAATATTAATAAAATTTGCAGCCTAGCAAAAACACAAAATGCATCAAGTCAAACTAGCTCAGGTGGCTGTTAGCTTGACCGATATTCCATGGGTCTCACCCACGATTGGTGGTCGTTCACAAATCCTGATGGGTCGTGTCAGAAATTGGGTTGCTAGTCCGATGGCTCGATGCATGGGTTGAGCAAAACCAAATTTGCGGTCAATCAAACAGATGGGACCTGACCTAGGCCGGCCCTCAAGTTGATTAAACATAACCGCAACTATGTCTGTGTTGGGTCCCTTTGCCAGTGATAGAGCTACTAATTTTTTTGTGCTCTGTTGGTCACTAACCGGTGATGGTACTACAAAAAATTTGCAGATGCTATGTTTCTCTTGGACGAAAAATAGATTTACGGTATTAAAAAATGGTTGACCCATGAAATTATATAAAACTCTAAATTTCCGGGCCCATTTTTCCCTTGCTTAAAGCAGATGGGCATCGTCACCGGCTCTAATACGCTGCAATAATACAATGAAGTTTGTTGAGTACAACAATTGTGGTCACACCAATGAAGAAACGCATTTGCTTTTGAAGTTGAAGGCGTTGGCGTCTTAAAGGCCAAGTTATGGCCTAGCGTTCCTGAACTCATTGATTGAGAAAAAAGCAGACAAAAGAGAGAAAGAGAGAGAGAGAAAAAAGAGAGAGGATTTAATGGAGGAATTTAAAGAGGGTATGTGCAGTCACCACCACATCTTTACTCTTCTATAATCAGATTGGTGGGTGGGTTTGAATGGGTTCAGTTTTTGGTCCTAGCCTGTGTGTGTGTGTGTGTGTATATATATATATATATATATGGTCCACCTTAGGCAGAATCGAGGAGAGTTGTAAGTTGAATTTATTTTGAACTGAAACCATCGAGAAGTCCGTACAAATTGTAGGTAAGAAACTTCTTCATTTGTTGATCGTTTGTTTGAGTGAAAGCTTGGGCCTTTAAGGTTGTTACCAAGAATGAGAGTCATAATCTTTAGTTGGACCAACAATCCTATGTCAAAGGGTCAATAAATCGGTTTGGTCTTTATTAATCCTTGGTCCGTGGTAGTTGCGATGGAGGAGGAGGAGGAGAAGAGGTGGATTGGAGGTAAATATATGTCTCATCAGATATTGTGGAGGGCTCATCTGACTTACTGGATCCCTCTCAAACTCGAGTAAATATTGGGTATACCAGCTAAACCACTTCAGTATTATCATGTAATGAAACTATCTAATGATAAACAAATAACACGTGAACTCCACTTTTTGAATATATGACAATTACTATCTTACATGGAAGGAGTGATTATTTAAAGTAGTGGAGTTCATTTTGTCCATTTATGTGTAACTGTTACACCTAATATTTACTCGACTTTTAATCTCTAAAGTATGCGTTTAGTATCTAAATTTGAGGGAATCATATATTGGAGTGGATTAAAATACATGAATACTAGTTAGACCCAGACCCAATTTGTTGATCTGCTTTACTATAATCATTGAATTGGTAACAAATCTAAAAAAAAAAAATTAAGACCCACTAATAATTCAATGACTATGAGTAATTAGATCAATAAATTAACTCAATAAATTAAGTTTAAGTTACATTGTTCATTAAGATATAGCATTAATGAGGTATAATATTAATGAGCTCAAAAACTCTAATGCGCCACGTACACATAAATATGCTTGCAGGGTATTAAGAATGTCAATACCATATGTTTCATCAATATGATGACTCTTTATAGGCTAGGCCAAATGCCCAACTTATGTTACAAGCTTAGTCCGAAAGAGCTCAACTTAAAGATATTCAATGAGTTTAGCTTAAAAGAGGTCTACGCTCAGTCAAGCCCATCAAAGTTCGAAGAAGAGCTACATTACAAAGAAAGACAGGGTCATTCTAAGAACCTCATCCGCACTGCCTTAGAAAGAGTCAATCGTCACGTCATCTTTGATCTCATCTTGAGGAAAGCCTCGCAACAGCCTCATCTGTTGTGAAGATGATGCCACTTCCACCAAATTAGCCCTTTTAATTATCGATAAGTCGCCTCAATCTATTATGAGAAGACTATAAATTGTGAGTCCCGCCAAAAATTGGGAGGCATCACACACAATCGAGCACATTTGCTAGTATTCTCATATCTCTTATTGCTTGTATGTTTCTGCACTCTTTACACTCCTCAAAATAATAAAATATTCAGGCGACCATAGCCCATCATAGTGGACGTATGTTACGTTTATTAAACCACTCTACATCTTTATCTTTTTTGAGTTACTTTCTCTCTACTTAATTACTGTATTAGTTACTGATCACTTGACCGATGATGTATAAAATTAATTTGTGCATCACCAATTCCCATCATAATTTTTATGACGGTGGAAAATTTTACTCTCTGTTATATCAAATATCGAAATGTATTTAAGTGATTAATTCAAAACATAGTCATCAGTGCAAGTACAAGGTAATTTAATACTTTAGACTCCTGTCATTGTGGTTTTGAAAAGAGTAAATGTAAGAAATATTATCTAATGAGCAAAAAGTATATTTATATGATTCGAACTATTAATGTCGAAGATAGGTGAATTGAATAACTTTAGTATGGTCCCATCCGTGCAGGGGTCAATTTGGTGGTGTAGAATAAGTGTGACATTATGGCACGACATTTGTACTGCACTGACAATTCATGCCAATGACAAATAGGCATAAGTGAGGGGGAAGCAAGTCCAGTAATTTCAAAAGCAATGGTCCTCAACTAAAATGGTACGTATTTTGGTCATTCACAGGTCTTAGAAGTCGAATTTTGATGATAATTTATTGAGGTCATGTTACGTGGATGAGAAATTTATTTCTGATGAATATTGTAGTTTTAGCGTAAATGACTTAAATATTCTTAACCGCTGAAGCAAAAAAAAAACAAAAAACAAAAATGGTACGTACCTGCTGTTGTATATTTCATACAGTACTTGTGTTGGGGGGTGGTTGTTCATAATTAATTTACCACAAATTTTATGAGTCTTTCCAGCTGGAGCCTGGGTTGCTAAGCTTTGTAAGTCTCATGTGCACATGTTTGTGTGGTGTTAATATTGGTAGTTTTGAGTTAGAGCTCTCAACGTATTCAATGTAGATCCAGTTTCCGGAATGTTAGTTGTGGCTGTGGTCATATTGTACATTGATTTGCACCAGTTATAGGTAGAGCTAGGTTGGAAATAGTAGGATAATATGTTTAGGACGTGGTATATTCGTCATGATCTTTAAAACCAGATCAAAAAAACTAAAAAAGACATGGTGTTCAAACGATATTCCAAGATGCTTATGGCAACAATCGACGTAAGGTTTTGGTTTTGTAGTACTGAGACTTCCTCAGATTACCTTTTTTTTTTTTTGGAGAAATTACACTTTTAATCTCTAAAGTATGCGTTTAGTATCTATTTGATCCCCAAACTTTTAGTTGTGTTTATTTAGTCGTAAGGTTCATAATTTATATTTACGTAGTCCAATCTCAAACGCCCGTCCAAAAATCGTGACAATTTTGATCACACGTCAATTACGTAATTTCTAATTTTATGTCTATTTAATTTTTAAAGTTTTTAATTTACGTCTATTTAGTCTCACGTGATGGCAGCGCATGACTAGAGGCGCTAATGATCATTTATCAATGAGGATGCTTTTATTTATTTATTTTGCGGGGGTTGGGTGGGCCTTGAAAAGTTGACTTGAAAAGCCATTTGAAAACTAAAAAGCAATCTGACTAATGATTGATGATACTCAATTCTAAAATTTAGTATAAACTAAAATGCATTAAGTTTTTTTTTTAAAAAATAAATGGGGGCACAAATTTAAAATTTTTCCCCAAGTAACACACAACCCGTGTCATTAAGGTCGTGTTAAAGCTTACATTAATTTAATTAAATCTTACTTTATCTCTTGCGCGGGTATTCTCCACATTAAACTCTATGTTAAACCAACTATTTCTAAAAGCTCTATCTTTCTTTTAATATAGCTCTTATTTTACTTTCAATTGTTATTTATAAGTATCAATATTTATTTCAAATGTAGAGAAAAATACTTTTGTAAAATATTTTATTGCATAGGTAGGGGTGGGGATAGAGAGTGAGCCAAATTAAGGTGGGATTGGAAAGAGATTTCATGCATGGCATGAGAGTTTGTTAGTTTAAGCTTAATTTGGCGCAACATCCCTTAGGTTTTTTTATTTTTTTTAGTAAAAGTTTCAAGAGCAATGCTACAGGAACCTTTGAGAATCTAATTTAGGGACCTAATAATATGGTTTCAACGTGATCATTGGATTAATTGTGAGTTCTAACGTTAGATGAAGTCCACAACCAATCCAATGGTTGTACATCATTAGGTCTCTAAATAAAATCCTCAAATTAGGTCCAAATAACATTTCCCAAGTTTCAATAGTTCAAACTGAATCATTATTCCCAAAGCTATTTGTTGCACCGAATGAGCAATATGTTAGAAATTTTTGGGTCGGTTTAACACCTCACTTAACACTGTCTGGTGGTCGGGAATTGTACATTAATTCCTAAGATAAATTTGTGTCTGATATGATAATTTTATAGTGTGTGCACACCACATGACACTATGAAGTTGTGTTAAATCCACCCTATCATTTTTAGCTATCTCTTTTTTTATTGGTTTAACAGTCAGGGATGTATAAGTTAGTTTATGTATACTTTGATTAATTCATTCTCCGATCTAATTAAATACGAATCATCCACATTAAGATTAGAGTATTAATGAAGAATAATATTTTTCGCTATCCAGACATCATTTAAAGGAT